TTTGTCTAATATGGAAGTATTAATGTTAGTTTAATGAACCAAAAAAAGACCTATTAAAGTAACTTTCTTTTGCTAATTTGAGCCTTTTGTTTGTGTTTAATTGGTTTCTTTTATTAGTCCGTTTTTTGCCATTGTGTTGTTCGTCTCGTCATATCGACATATGATTTGTCTTTGTTGACCCTTTTGTGCCGTATTTTCCTCAATGTCATAAACTCGTATTTGTTTATTGCTCTAGAGGTCACCCGACAAGCGCACGAACCTTTTGTGAGCTCTAAAAATGTTTCCGATTCTAGAGTAGTAGTGAACAAAGTGGAAAGAGAATGAGAGTGTCGAAATTCCATTCAAATCTAGGGACAGGGTTCATTTAGTCTCATGGATTGTGTATGTTACCGGTATTTAACTCAAAGACGCCACTTAATAAGAGAAAAAAAAGTGAACCATTGTATAGATAACAACCATAAGATAGATCCAGACGTTATCTCTAAATAACAAAAACATCATCTCAATAATTAGTCATTGTTGTATAAGGATTTCTTTGGAATATTTCAGACATGTTTCAATGTCACCAGTTGATTTTGTAAGTTTGTAAGACTTTAGTACTATGTATATATAAACTCGATCAATTCATTTTAATCAATTATTTATATAGATTATACCAAAGGGAAAGTGAATACATAATAATTTCCCCATCAGAAACGAAAACAAAGACAAACAATATTCACAAAACCTCCCAATGAATACTAATAATAGGACAACATGAGCATTTTCATGGATAATCTCGTGTGCTTCTATTTACATGTAACATATCTATTATATTTTAGTGCAAAATGTTGTATTTTAAATAACGCTAGATTGGACAAAATGACCGACTTGCTTTTGGGTGTGTGACCTGAGTAAATTATATATACTGCAATATAAGAAATAGGAATTAAGTCGATGAGAGGTATACATCAATGATATATCAATATAAGGACAAAAATACCCGAAAGACATCTATGGGGCAGCATACAATGTTCAACTAAAGACAGATTTCTATACAATATCAAGTTCTAAATCGTTTCCACTGTATAAAAATTGTGGCTATTCAAACACCTGATACAATATCTATCAATAGGTTTTTCGGCAATAAGATAAATAGCTGTTTGTTATTTCTGTAACAATAAAAATAAATAAAGGTGTGGATCGATTAGACAGTGCATTATATTGAGATCAGATATGCTTGCTATAGATAGTTGATAACGTGTGCTGGTCACTACCAAATACTATACATTTTGAATGGACTTGACTGAACTGTTATATTAGACTCGTAGATGTAGACTGGTCGAGGAATGTTTCTTGACGAAAGATCAAACGTTTTCTTTCTCAATTGAAAAGAACACGTCATTATTAAATGAAATATGTACCCCTTATTCAGTGTATGCTATATGCAATTATTATATCTTAGTAAGTATGTATTAGGTATTCAAAATTTTGCCACTGAAGAGGCATACGTTGTCAAAATGCATTTGGTGTTGTGAAATTGACAATGTTAATATTATTACCACCATTTGGATGACATATAGATACGAATATTATTTCATCAAAATTTGCTGTTACAACATACCTATGATTCCCTGTCCGGGTTTTGGCTCTAAAGTGGATCTTTTTTTTTTGTCATATCAGCTCTTAAACATTTTGTATTAGGTTTTTGATTTTTCAAATATTTCTTTCATATACTGTTTTGACTGAAGATTATTTAATTGTCGAAA